CCTCTATCCACTGAGCCTAACAAGCTAGGGCTCCTCTATCTTTTGTCTTGGTTCTTTTTGCTTTCTCTCTATGGGTCAAATATCTGTCTTTGGTTTCTGGGTTCCATTTCCACCTTCATTTGCTGTGTGACCTTGGGCAAGTGTCTTGACTATTCTGTAAAATGGGGATAATAAGAGCATCTATGTCAGAAAGGTGTTGTGGGGGTTAAGTGAGTTAAAACTTGGGGCAGAGTGCCTGCAATTAGTGGCCATGTCCTGATGGCTCCTTTTTAATATGCTATGAACATCACAAGTTCTGATTATCTAATGATTATAGCTGGCGCTTATAAAATGCTGACAAGTGTCAGTCCCTGTTCTAGAAACATTAATTCATTTGATCCCACAACTCCCTACAAAGTAGGTACTATTTTACTCCCCATTTTACAAATGAGGAAACAGCCCAAGAGATTGAGTGACTTGCTCAGGGTTGCCCAGCGGGAAGAGGCAGAGCTGGCTTCAACCACAGTCAGCCACTGATCCTCCTGTTTCAATGTCTGACCCTTGACTGGGATGGAGGTTGAGTTGATATACTAGTATGTACCCTTTGCCCTTCATGTCCAGCTAATGGAGGCTATAGCATTGCCCCTGGGCTGTCTGTGCCTGATTTTTCCGGTGTTATCTATCTCTGTCCCTCCTCCCCTAGTGACCCCTCCTCCTCCTGCCACCACCCACCTCAGACTTCCTCCTTCACTTGGTTGGCCACATCCCACTGGCCCTTGGACTGTAGTATCCAGCAGTGTCGCCTGCATCATGGGGGGCCTTAGACCCTACAACAGGCTTCTGTTCCTGCCTCTTCTTCTGACTGTGGGTGGTGAGTTGGGGGCTTCTGAAGCTGCCTCCTGAGTCTCTGGGCTCACCTTGGGGCAAGGCAGGGAACAGGGTGGAAAGAGAACCAAAGGGGAAGGTTGGGATAGGAGCAGGTCCCCAGCCCCCAAAACCCTATGGGTCTCTCCCAGAACCTGAAACTCCAATATTTGGCCTCCAGTAGAAGCAGAGGGAGGGGACTCTACGGGTGGTGTAATAGGACAAGTCAGTGTGGAAGTAACACAGTCCAGTGGCCTTTGTGTCAGCCACAGGTCCTACCAGAAGTTACTCTCTACCCTCGCCCCCTGGCTGTCAGGACCCACCCTCCCCAGCTTCTATGCCCACCCTCCAGTCATAGCTCCAAACCTAGTTTACCTTCTTTTTCTTTCTTCAGGTCTCAGCCCTGTCCAGTCCCACTGCGGTAGGCCTAGGCCCTGAAATACCCCTCCCTATTTCTGAAAGACCTCCCCATTTCTTCCCAATCTCTTCAAATCTCTCCCCTGACACCTCCTCCCAATTCCCGACTCCCATTGATCTCCCCTGACTCCTGTGCCATATACATTCCCAGAATGCAACTGCTCTGCGGTGAGCCCTGGTGTGCTGGCCGGTATTGTGTTGGGGGACCTGGTACTTACCCTCCTCATCGCCCTGGCTGTATACTCTCTGGGCCGGCTGGTCCCTCGGGGGCGAGGGGCTGTGGAGGGTGAGTGGGATTGGATGGGGATGGGACACTCTGAGGACTTGTCTGGAGGGGAGGGGTAAGCTCCCAAGTCACAATCATCCAAGGGGATGGTGATGGTTTCGCATCAACTAAATAATCCCAACTTACCCCCTTGTGTGCCCCTGTTCCTGTGCCACTTCCCACCCCCAGCAGTGACCCGGAAACAGCGCATCACTGAGACAGAGTCACCTTATCAGGTGAGGAAACCAGCTTCTCTTCCTTCTGTCTCATTCCTGCCCTGTGATGCCTGCCTTTTGGGGCCATAGACCCTCCCTCTGTAACTGTGAGCCCTAAAACTGTGAAATCTCTTTTATTTGTCCACAACCAGCTTTGCTTTGCCTCACTTGTGATGAAAAGTCTCTTTCTAAAGTGTAAGATCTTGAGTCTAGCTCTGTGAGGTCCATAAGACTGAAGGAGCTTTCCAGTTACTGGGAGCAGTGAAATATTAGGGCAAAGCATTGCTCCACTTTATTTGTTGAACACCCACATGTACTAGATCAGGGGTCCTCAAACTACGGCCCGCGGGCCACATGCAAATACAAATATTGTATTTGTTCCCGTTTTGTTTTTTTACTTCAAAATAAGATATGTGCAGTGTGCATAGGAATTTGTTCATAGTTTTTTTTTTAAACTATAGTCCGGCCCTCCGACGGTCTGAGGGACAATGAACTGGCCCCCTGTTTAAAAGTTTGAGGACCCCTGTACTAGATACTGAAGACATAGCTGCAGAGCTTACATCCTAGTTGGGTAAACAGAATTGAAGCAAATTAACAAATAAGATCCTCTGGGGTGTGGGGGGAAGAAACTACAGATGAAGAAATCAAGAAATGCCTTTCTGAGGAAGTGACATGAGCTAAGACTTGAAGGGAAGGATGGAACCATCCATGGGAATATTTAGGGGACCAATATTCCAAGCAGAGAGAACAGTATGTGCAAAAGCTCTGAGGCTGGGGCCTAATGATGAGGCAGAGGAGAAAGGGGAACTTTGAAGGCACCTGAATAAAATAGATTTCTAACATGGCTGCAAGGTTGAAGCCATTTCTAACTTCTGCAAGGTTGAAGAAGTTACCAGGGGCCTTGCAGGCCACTGGGAGAAGGTTGGATTTTGTTTTAAGTTTATTTGGCAGACCCATTCCACTGATGGTTGCCACCCTGTCCATCCCTTTAGGAGCTCCAAGGTCAGAGACCGGATGTCTACAGTGACCTCAACACACAGAGGCAGTATTACAAATGAGCCCAAACCATGGCCCAAACCCGATGCCTGGATCCAGCTATTCCTGATGTCTACCCAGCACTCTATTCCTACTCCCACCACATACAGATCTACAGAGTGGCCTCTCTGAGATATCAGACTTTCCCTGCCCCCAAATAAACATGGAACACAAAACACTCTTGAGTTATTGCATATCTCTGGGCTGAGGGGATGGGGATATTTGGGGTTCTGGGAGGGTAGGTCATAGACCCAGAAACAGCTAAATGGGAGGGAGGCTTTGGGGACCCTGGTTCTTTGAGAAAGAATTAGAAGTAGAGGTATTTCAGTCGCTTTATTGAATAGGTTTCCTGTGCCACCACGCACAATCCAGGATGAGAGGGTCAGAAGTCAGAGGTCCCAGTTACAGGGGTCAGCCCCTGCCAGGCATGTTGATGTAGACCTTGCCATCTTCTGGGGGTGGGGAAAAGAAAGCATGAGGCCTGACCACCCACCACCCACCCACATCTCCACCTCCCCAGGGACCTCCTGCTTCAGGGGTTTCCTCAGGAGTTCCCCCAGCAGGGCCCCCAGGGTTTCCCCAGCAGCACCTCCAGGGCTTCCCCCAGGGGACCCCTCCATGGGGACCTCTTCCCTAGGGACACCACCCCCAGTCCAGGCCCTGCCTTCACCTTGGGTGGGCCTGCCACGTGGGCTGGCACACATAAACACCACCACCACGATCAACAGAGACACCACAGCATCAGCAGCCACAAGGCCTGCCAGAAGTGGCAGAGGGAGGGGCCCACATCCGGAATAGGAACCTGGAGGGTGGAGGCCAAAACAAAAAAGTGGCTGCGGGGGGATTCCAGGCTTTCAGGGCTGTGCTGTGGGCATATGGGCAGAAGAAGTCCCTGATGGGTGACCAATTCCCTGGGGTTGCACTTGAGGGATGAAAAGGGAGATGGAGATCCAGAGAGAGTCTTGGGTATTCAAGCATAGTGAGACATGTGCTGGGCTTTGGGAATAGTGGGCACTCCTGACGAGAGGCTGGGGGTTGGCCAAGTCCCTGGGGCTTCAATTTGCTACAGTGAGATGGGGATCTGGAGAGCCACTGGGGGTATTCCAGGATCCTCAAGCTATACTTTAGGCATGGAAACAGTACCTGAAGTACCATGGCAAAGAGGAAGGAGTTTTGATATCTCACCTGGAGTTACCTGAGCTGCAGCCACTGTGGGAAGAGAGAGAACATAATCAGTGGGAAAGGTGGTTCCCAAAATAGGTGCAGGGAAAGGTGATGTGCTCAGAGGTAAGCTCCACTCCAAAAGAGCAAATGAGAAAGAGCGGCCAAAAGGTAGGGGAGCTCCCAGAAAAGCAGAGACAGGAAATCAGCAGAGATCCAGCGGTGAGAAGGGGAGATTAATAGGTAGGCAGTCCAGACTTCAGCTTCCCTCCCCATAGAACCAGGCCCAGAAGCCAAATGGATCTCCCGGAAAAGAAGGGGCACTGGGAGAAGGATCTGCCCCCAGGACCCCTCCCTTCAGACGCCACCCAAGCCACCCCTTTCACAAATATCTGCCTGCCACTCCCCTACCCCCACCCAGTAACTGCTGGCTTCACCTGGGAGCAAAAGCAGGAGCAGGACGTTGCCTGGAGGGAGCATGGTGGGTTGGGGGCTGGAAGGGATTTGGTCCAGAGAGGTTCTGAGGAAGAGTGGGGGAGTAGAGAGGCAGCAAAAGCGGATGTCACCCTGCTGGTAGCAAGGCTAACTGCTTCCTGTGGGGGT